TGCCATTCCTCCCTAGCTTACCTTAGTTGTTAAACTGTGATAGTTACATTTAATAATTAATAAAAGTGGGTAGGAGTCATAAACACTTTTATTTGGCGGCAAATAAATTCATTTTTGCCATTTGAAAGTCCACATAAAAAAGCGTCTCCAAAATGTTTTTCAATTTCAACTAAACGTGATTTTTTTAATGATTTTTCTAAAACACTCAAATTAGCCGTCTTTTTGGCACACGACTCGCACTTAAAAAAACAAATTAAGAAAAATTAAATCACGTTTAGTTCAAATCGATGTAGATGATGATTTAGACTCTCTGACAAATGAGAAAATAATTATAAAAAATATGAGGTTGATTGAATTTGTAATGAAGTAATACCGAATATCATGCATTCATACCTAATTGTATCTTTTTGGTTCGCTTCGGCGGCATAACCGGCGAGTTTGGTCGAGCCATGGTTTGTATTTTGGCCAAACGCAGTCGAGCCAAAATAATCTCACGCGAGACTAAACGAGCCTGATACGCCGCCAAAGGGTACTAAAAGGGTATGATTGGGTATTTACCGTACCCAGTCATGATATCAGGGACTTTAAGATACGCTACGGCGAGGTGCTACTACGGCTACTTTGGCCGTGAGGGACTAGGCTGACAACGGTGTTTTACCCGTCAAACTCAAATGATTAAGATTTTGCTGTACGGCAACGGTATGTGCAGTCTCTACGTGTCTTTTACAAAAATGACTACTTTCAAGGAAACCAGAGATCATTCTACTTTCATACGAAATAGGCTTGATTAATGACAATAATTTCCTTCTCCTGTATCCGTCTTACATCTCCCAAAACTCAGGTTTGCCTTTTAGAACTTGATACAACCGTCTGTAGTGCCAACCACAACACAAAATATAAACTCTGATATAAAAAAGCTCGATTTCAACACGGACAGGTTGTTCGTACAACGATTACGTGATAAGTCCGAAAATACAAAACTTTCGATTATAATAAAATACGTTTTGAACAGTAATAAACAATTATAGCTCAGATTAGAACATACGAAGCTCTCTTATAAACGGCTGTTCGGTACGATACTAATGTGACTGAATTGATCCTCTCGCAGTAGGTGCTAAAATCGTTCAAATTTTCTGTACAAATGACAAAGAAAAAATGATCTTAAAACGGATTTTTACGATTGAAAACGTTATCTTCAAACTAGGCTGTTCAGTGCAAAAAGCGTTTAAATGAGAAGTAAACAGCAGGCTTACACTCAAGTAGTGAAGAGTACGTGAAACCAGGCACTTTCCCGTAGTAGAAAGCAAGGCTACGGCGGGAAAGCCGACGACGTCACCGGAAGTGATCTTCACTATCTGCCGCCGTACTACAGCCTAGCCGTACCATATCTTTAAGTCCCTATCGTAGCCATATCAGGTCAGTGACTTGATAATGCAAGATATCGGGACAGTAGACACTGCTTCTAATTGGCTAACTTCGAATTTGGGTGCGAGAAATGAGCCATACTAGATACCCCCATAAGCCTGGTGGTTTTCTGGAGGTCTCCTTGTTTAATTTACTGTAAGCAATAAAGACTTTTTCTAGTTAAGGCAAGAAAACGATGACGATGACAGTGATGATGATGATGATGATGATGATGATGATGATGATGAAGACAACGATGGGAAGGAGGAGGAGGAGGAAGGGGAGGGGGAGGAGAAGAAGAAGAAGGAAGAGGAGGAGCAGGAGCAGGAGCAGGAGGAAGAGAAGGAGGAGCAGGAGCAGGAGGAGGAGGAGGAAAGAGCTGACGTCCTAGGAGCTCGCTAGGTGAAGTCTTAAGAAAAGTGAATGCTCATTCCTACCGTCTCCACGGCTGCCATCAATATTTCAACCAAGTTTGCCGAAATTTCTTTGGAGCTTATGTCATCTCTGTTGATCAGAAATGTCAAGAATTCCGCAGCACCTTCGTCGTTAAAGTCTCCATTTCCCACCTTGTCTCGAATTTCGTTCAACCTCTTTTCGATACACATGTCACCAAAGTTGTACATGACATCCATACAATCATAGAACTCTTGAACTGCCTTCAACCGGTAAAACTTGTCAATCCAAACAGGAATGACGAAAACGTTTAGGACTTGATGAAAAAACTGTTCAACAGCAGCAATAAATTTCGCTGCCTCCACTGAGGGTGACTTAGCAAAGGACCCAAATCTTGTTTCAAACAGGACTGTGCCAATTGCTGGAATTTTAAAAAGATGACACATTATTAAGACATGCTATCAGACATTATTATGGGTTTGAAGGAGCTTTTTTTGCCTTATTTTGGATAATTGATGTTATGTGTTAAACTGATGAACTCTTAACTAAAGATAAAAAGGCAACGAAATAATCTAACGTATTTATACCTGATTATAAAATGAATGCAATTCACTTTAGATTTATTCATTTTCTGTGTTTTTGTTTTTGTTTTTGTCTTTAGAAGGGGGTGGGCGGGGGAGATTTAACTCCACACCTCAACATCTTTTTCGAAATGTACCCACAGCCTAGGTTTTGAATGACATTACTGTTCTATTGCTTAACAAAGAAACACGTGAATTAACTCACATTCCAAAGACCATTTGAATAGCTCCTGTTGAATGTTGGGAACTATGCCATTATCATCTCGAGTTGTCTTCATCTGGGATAACACATCAGTTGTGACCTCATTCAATTGCTGTGAATATTCACCAACAACTTTGGGTTTCAACATTTTCATGTTCAAGATGCGACGCACCTTGTACCACTCTTCTCCTTGCCTGCATTGTTGACACAAAAATGTGTAGATATTTAATCCATGACATGCATGTAGGCCCTGGGGGTACTCTGTTAAGCTACATGTAGCCATACCCACCCACCGAGGAAAACGGGGGGAAACCATACCCTTCACAGCAGCACATAAACGTACCTATATAGCCTATATATGAGAGTAGTCCCCCCCCCCCCC